TTATTTTCAAAATTGTCTGAAATGAAGCTTGCTTTTAATGGAATAAAACAATCAATATATTTTTAGATGTACTTAAATCCATGGAAAATGATATCTTTTTTTTTTTAGGGAGGTCCTTTGTGAAACCGAGACAAGTGTAAATAAGCTTATGACCTCGATAGGAGCACTTTAAAGGTAAAAGCAAACCTGAGAGCAGAGCCCACGTCCTCCCAGTACGTCCCCTATGTCGATATTAGAGGAGGAAATCTCCCTGGCAATCTTAATGTCGCCTTCTCCCTCTATAATGACTCGATGCATAAAAATTAATCTTTTCCCTCCGCTTTGATCCCTGAGCTCCTTAGCGAAGATTCCATCTTGTTCTATAACACATGATGAAGCATTTTCCCTGCTATAATGGGACAACAGCCCTACTGAGCATGCCAATTTGAGTCGGAACGTGCCATAGCCAAAGAAGAAATTTTAAGAGACAATTCCACCTAGAACTATTTGGCAAATTCATAAAAAAGACACATTAACACTGTGTCTGAAAATATTGTCCTTAACAAAAGAGCACAAAACAGAGCTGGGAATGGGCCAGGTGGGCAGGGACGGAGGGAAGGAAAAGCAGGGGGGAGGTGCTGCGGGGGTGTCGCCACCAAACGCTGGTCATGGACATCGGTCAGTTTCATCCTCCCCCCCAAAAAATGCATTTGAAAACTTTCTATGAAAATGATTGTTTGTCAAGGCTATGAAAAAACACTCTTTAATTAGTTTACTTAAATATTAAGTCTGACATCTAGAATCTCAATATTAGCAAAAATGTGATAATTATAGCTGGAAGGGTTTTTTATTGAATGTAAATTCATGTATAACACCTTTAGCATATCTCACTCCCCATTGTTATTTCTCGTACTGTTCACACTTAACTGGGAGCCTCTGGGCTCCACTCTGAAATCGGGTCTCCAATCCACAGTCTACACACTTCTTTTTAAAGTAGTTGCTGTTCAGCAACAACTGTGACAAAGGACATATCTAATCCATCCCAAGGGGAAATACAACCCTGAGGGATCCTGCCAGGGGAAATGGGGTCCTTTCACAGGGTCACGTGAGAAGCGTTTTGGGAGCGCCTCACATGGAAGGACGGGATGGGGTAAGGCTTGTTGAAGTAAACACAAAGGGCTGCCCCCGGGTGAGCTGCAGAAAAATTCATTGCTGTCTTCAACAGGCCCAGCAATAAGGCCAGTGTCCAGGCATTTTATCCCATTGGTTCAGCATTTCAGCGCACCTTTTGCTCACATAAACCTCCAGGCGCAGGGACATCTCACAGTTCTGTGTTGAGAAGTGGAGCGACCGAATTCTAACGCGATCACAGATGTGAGAGACCATTTGGGGAAATCCTGTATTACTAGTGTGCTCTTAACATTTTTGAAAGTCTCCAACTGGGCACTGACAACAAATTATTTCTAAAACACTCCTAGTAAAATAGCTCCAGTGTATACATTTCTAATTCTAAATCAAACCACTTTGCTGTCATTTGTGGAAGGAAAGCTGTATCCTCTCTCTAGTTCACTAAGAAGGGGTGAAGAATTGTATGTCTGGGAAATTCATTATCTCAAGTGTTAAGCTCAGGCCCTTGAGTTTGTGGCCTGTGATTTCATTGGCAGTGGCATAGTTTGACAGAAAGCTTAAATAGCATGGCCTTGCCCAAGGTCACAGAGCCAGTAGGTAGCAGAATGGGTATGCTGACCTTGGGCAAGGCCCTGCTATTTAGGCTGTTATGGAAGGTATGACGCAGAAAAAATTGACATGAAATGTCAGCCCCTACCCCATGAAGGCCCCAAGGAAGGACTTGGGGGGCTATGAAGAAAGAGGGTGATGGACCCTCACCCCTTGGCTTTGACAAAGCCTGAGTCCTCATTTCTTCGAATCCCTTGGCTATCTTGCCTCCTCTGCCTGACTTAAGCCTGAAACAATGACCGAGGGCGGTGCAGCCCTGAGCTGGAAAGGGCGGGCTCCCTGGGTGATCAGGCCTGAGAAAGAATATGTAAAATTCTGTGAAGCCTGCTTTGCTAAGAATGCTCTTAGTTAAATGATAAAGGCCCAAGCAGGAAATGAGTTTGTTTCCCAAAGTTTTGTAGCCTTTTAGCTGATAGACCCTGACTCAGAAGAAGCCCTGATAGTTCTTTGTATGCTCTCTACCGTTTGATCCTTACTGCCTGACAGTGATTAATGAACTGTACCTGTATTCCTGTGCAAATTAAACCCAATGAAAGCCTGTCTAGGCCAGGGTCAGTGCGCTCTCCCCTTGAGAGAGTGGCCAGGCCATTCTAAGGCACTCCCCCGACTTGAGGGAGTAGCCTTGCCATCCCTTTTCCTCCACAGGACTCAGTAGTCCATGTGAATTTGTCTCATGTCTCATCCATGACACTGTGGGCACTGTGAACCGGTGCACATGTCAACCAACCTGATTTTTTTTTGCCCAGTATGACTTCCTGTTCCCTCTCCTTTCTCCTTTTGAAAAATCTTTCATTTTGTACAGATTCTTAAAGCTCCTTTCTATATGCTAGATTAGGTGCTACCTGATGTAAATAAATTTTTGCTCAAATAAACTCTTAAAATATTTTAATATGCCTCAGTTTACCTTTTAACAATATGCAATAAAATTTAAAGCACCCAGAAAAGTCCACGGATTACAAAACCATTATCTGTGCCCTGAAATATTTTTTTTTATCAGGGATCAAATTATTTTTTTACCTCAAAATAGCCACAGGATTTAAAACCCAGGGACCTGGAATTTCTATTTGAGGATTTAGGGATCTAAATGTCATATCAAGACATAAATTACATATCATAAGTCTTTCCTAGGCCTGGGTTTCACCTGGGCAGAGGGTACACATGGAACACACAGTCCCCTAAATCTGGGGAGGGTGGGAGGGGCAGGTAACAATCTGTGCCCCCGAGGGGGTGTATAATGCAGAAAGGATGGCTGGGAAGGCTGGGGGCAAACCTGGCTGGCTTTGATCATGGACTTCTCTTAATGGACAGAGAGGAAATTATTAATTCTCGATAATGATAACAACATAATAGATGTTTCTCCTCAAGTACAGTAGAGGTATTTCATTCTATCAACTTGTCTTATGTAACTGCAACGCCAGCACACCAGGCCAATTACACCAGAAGTACCAACTTCAAATTTAAAAAGCCGAGAGGATAAATCTATCAACCAGTTTCATTAATTTGAATACCACTATGTTGGAATGTGTGGTGATTTGAATCAGGGCAAGGCCGATGCTTCCCTTTGCTTGTCAAACTGCCTCTTCATTGATAATGCAAATTGTGACTGCAAACAGCATCTCTGGGGGGCGTTTAAAGTGCTTAAGGGAACACAGTGCACACTTCAGAAGCGTTTCTTTTATATGCAATTAGTCTGTTCATGACACATCATTCTTATCTATTCATTAAAGTAAGTCCCTGGCTTAGCTGGGAGCGTTTTATGGGTTTATAGACTCAGGGAAGCTCAGAACTGGCTGGAGCCTAAAGGTCATCTGGCTCTCTCCCTGGCTGGCGGTCCCTCCCTCTCCAACATCTGTTCTTAATCCTGTCCACTGAGAGGCCTCGCTTGACTTCCTCTGGCAACCCCTGGAAAGATCTTGAACTCTGGAGTCATTAGGACCTGCATCAAATCCCAGCTTCATCTTTTGCTAGTAACTAGAGCCTCAGTTTCCTCAGGATTGTGTGCAACAGTGGCTAGCATTTAGTGTGGTATCGCGATGATAGATGGAAAGTTTACGTGTTAGCGGTTCCCTGGGGGTGGGAATGGGAAGTGACTACCGGTGGTTACCAGGTTTCTTTGGGGGGTGATGGAAATGTTCTGCAAATAGATTGTGATGATGGTCACACCACTTCATAAATTCATTAAAAGGCATTGCATTGTAGACTCCAAACAAATGAATTTTATATGTCCATGATGCCTCAATGAAGATGTTAAACAAAAGAAAATAAGATATAAAAAAACCCTAAGGTCTTTTTTTAATTAGAAAAATACTCCAGGGTGCTAAGCACAGTACACATGAAATAAAAGCTAATTTGGGGTATTGTGGCAGAAAGCATATGTAGTGAAAAACAAAAATAGTTTTCGAAAGCTTCTGCTTTATAGTATAATAATTAGAAGATATGGCATATTCTTCTGCTTCAAGAATATTTTTAAAAATTGTCTCTATAAAAGATAAAGAGGAGATCATAACACAGACTGAAAAAAATAGTTCCACAACCCCTTAAAAGAAACCCATGAAACCAATGTGTTTAAGAATTCAGAATTTTTTGAATTTTAGAAATGTAATATGGGGCATTTTCCATAAATTACATAACACCCCCAACAGGGTATGTGGCAACATCTCATAATTAAACACATTAGTATTTCTTTAATGAAATGCATGAATATTCATACTAAGTAGGAGAAATACAAGACTACAAGTAGACTTATGTCAGTTCTGTCCCCTTTTTGCCTGCCAAGGAGCTTATTACAAACGTCAGAAAATCTTGGTCTGTCAGACGTTAGAACTTCCGGAATGGGGATCTGGGGAAGCAGTTACCATGACACTCAGCACGACCTCGCCTTTCACATGGGAGACACTTCAGTAACTGTGCCTTCCATGTCCTCCCTTTTCTCCCTGTCTTATCCCCAGAATGGGACAGTCTCTGCCAAGGGAACCCTGAAGTTGGGGACCACGATCAGAAATAGATTAGAATTATTTGCTCTGCCAATTCTGAGCTCAGACAAGACTAAGATACCAAAAGAAAACGGGATAACATAGAAATGTAAAATGGGAAATATTCTTCTGGATGGGGTAGGAGAGAAGAACCAACCAAGTTGTTTTAACTCAGGATAATAGATAGAGAGCATACCCTTAAAAACTAGCACAAAAGCACAGTAAGCAAATAAATGAACATTTTGGGTCGGATTCATTAATAAGCACCATATCCTTGACTTGGCTCATTTATTTCAGAATTACCTTACGGCAATGGATAAAGCCCTGCAAAGGATCTACCACCTGCTCTTCTCCGTCTTCGATGCGCTACGTGAATGGTTCTATCCTTCTACCTCCAAACTGGGAGTCTGGCTCAGCAGGGGTCCAGGGTGCTGGGACGCTGTGCCCAGGAGAACCTGGCTGTTCTCTCGGTCTGGTGAAGTGAGGTGACAGCCCACTGTGGCCGGGCAGACCAAAACCTAGGTTCCTACATTTCAGAGCAACTCTTTTGCATTAGACTGCAACCAGTGAGGGCAGGGGCCTTGCTAATCAATGTGATATTTCCAGGGCCTAGTAAGCTGCTCAATAAACACATGTCAATTAATTGAATGGTTGAAAGAACCAATAAGTTGAATGTCAAATAAAAGTAGCCTGACAGTTTGCTGTTTTGCAAAAACTACACTCCTTGCTCTGGGATCAGATATTTCACAGGACGGATGCCTTCCTCTGGACTCTCCTGCTGCAGCTCCAAATGACACGTTCTTCTAAGCACCTGTTTCTCCCATGGCCATCTCGCACTAGGAGCTGAGGGAGGTGAGGTGACTGTGGGAGTATGAGGATGGTACACTGGCATCCTAAAAAATACTGATGTAGCGCCTTAACAGCTGACTGTCATCCAAGGAATCACTATCCACCAGCACTACTAGAACAGGGTGTGCATTTTCATTTTCCTCACTCATTGATCAAGTCATCAAGTAACAGAGCAAGACAGCTCCCAATTTTCTAGATGAGAGGGGTTCAGGGAATGGCAGGGTGGGGGACAGGTAGAGGACTTGTCTAGGTGCTGAATTTTCACAGTACGCCAACATTTTTGCATAGACTATGTATTCATCCCAGTCATCCTGGAGATACTAAAGAGACTATAGAAGGGCTGGTAAGGTCCCCCAGGCCAAACTGTTGCCACTGTTTTAGAGAAACACAGCCTACTCCATGCAAATGCCAAAGAGATTTAGAAAAATCATTATTCAAAGTACAGAAGACTCAGAGACACACAGCAGTCTGCTGATTGCCAGAGGGAAACGGCGTGGGGAGGAGGTAGAAAAGGGTATAGGGGGACAAAGGGTGGTGTACACCTGAGACCTAGGTAATTTTATGAACCAAAGTCGCTCCAATAAATTCAATACAAAGAAAGAAAAAGTACAGGCCTACCTCCGAGAGAGTGTGGGTTGGGCTCCAGACCACGGCAATAAAGCAAGTATTGCGGTAAAATGAGTGGCAGTCTTTTTGCGGGTGGAGGGTCTTGCCTTTCATTTGGGAAGTGAGGTTGTGCCTGCATCAGCTCCGTCCTTGGAGCTTGGTTTACCTTACTGCCCTGTCTCCCCCGACCCAATCCCCACAAACAATCTCATCGGCTTGCAAAATCACAGACTCTCAGACCCAGACGAAGCCTTTAAGATGATCAGACCACCCAGGTGGTTTCAATACTCCCTCCAATGTAAGCTGCAGGTACAGGGAACATGGGAGCCAACATTTGTGGAGTTCCTGGCAGAGCCTGGCAATTCAAGCATATACACACACTTAGTTACATTATTTCATATCCTATAACCACTTACCTCAGTTTCCCCTGCGGAAACCAGGACTCGGACAATTTGCAGGACTTCCACATGGCCCAGCTTTTTCAGCTGTTGTCCCAGGGCCAGGTGTCTCCTCTTAACGGGTGCCTCTCCGCCCTGCAGTCAATTATTTGGAGGCTGCAGAATCCTGGAGAAAAATGGCTTTGTCTTTTGAGATCCAGAGTGTGAAGCCTATGCCTGAGAAAGCAGTTCCCCTCTGTTGCTCTATTACCTGGTGGGAGATATGCAATAAGGGGCACATGGGACGGACGAGGAAGCCCCCGCCCTCCCTACCTGCCCACAGAGCACAGGGGACACTGATGCCTATCTTTTTAAAATTTTTTAAAAAATTTAATTATTGTTCAAGAACAGTTTTCTGTCTTTTACTCCCATCACAGCCCACCCCCCCAGTGCCCCCCACCTCCCTCCCATTTCCACTCCCCTTAGTTGTTGTCCACGTGTCCTTTATACTTGTTCCTGTAAATTTTTCCCCCTTTTTCCCCCTGAAATTCCCTCCCCTCTCCCCTCTGGTCACTGTCGCCCTTGTTCTCTATTTCCGTGTCTTTCTTTTTATTTTGCTTGCTTGTTTTGTTGTTTAGCTTTCTAGCACATGTATCTCAAGTTGTCTGTTTCGTCCTTCCCTCCCTCCCTGCCTTTCCCTCCTTTCACTATTTCATTTTCTGCCCTCATAGAAATTAAAACAGAAATTCTAGTAAACTTAGAATCTGAAAGTCTGGGTTCAGAATCTAGTGTTGGGACTGTCTGTTGGTAAGTCACAGCAGCACTTTGGGCTTCGGTCGCCTTACTTCCCATGGTGACAGTAACCGAGAGGAGAAAGCACCAGGAGCCACAGGTTTTGTGCTCCACCAGGGCCGGGTGTTGCTTGAATGACTGGAAGGGAAATCGCCCTGTAGTAAGTGCTGACCACGTCCCAGGGCGTATTTCAGAGGTTCTGTACACATTATCGCACGTTATCTCATTTGGTGTGACGAGAAGGACCTGTCAGTGACCTGTCACTTTCATTTACCCCAGGCAGAAATAACAGAAAAAGGAAAAGGGCCCAAAGACATTGTTTTGGGCAGGAGTATTTAAAGACCTCCATTTGTCTGCTGTGGTTCTGGGGTCTTCATCAGAAACACTTTGGGCAAGTGTTTAAATTAAATAAAAATAGACAACAGTACATTCATTCAATAAGTCATAACACAGCCAAAGAAAATAAAATTGTAGAAAATTTTGTGACATGGAAAGATGGTCTCAATATTTTTAGGCTGGTTACAAAACAGACTACACATTACGATTCTTCAATAAACAGAATAGATTTACATGTACATACACACATCCCAACGTGTTTGCTGTTGTTGTCTCTAGTTGGTAGAACTGTGGCTGAATTTTGTTGTTTCTTTCTGCTACTCTGATATCCTGCAGTAAAGATGTATTGCCTTTGCAATAAAAGATTTTTAAATAAATAAAGTCGAGCAAGTTCAAATCAGCCCATTCATTAACTTCCCGTGTCTGGAGTGTAAGTGCTCAGCCCAGTTAATTCTCCAGGAGCCACATGCCTGGATTCCTTGTACATAAACTGCAGCCTTGCCCATGAATTCTCAGACACTAGACCCAGTCTCGGCTTTGGCTGCAGAGTAAGTCGCTCCCCTGGCTATCCAGGAAACCACCACTGTGGGCGGAAAATTTATATGTAGGTGAATCAAAGACTCTACATCAGGCTGGTTTTGAAGCCTGGTAGAAATGCTCAAATTTTATAATGCACATATGAATATATTTCTATGAGAGCAAGGGTGATTAGCAATCGTTCTTTATACAGCATGTTTTGTGCATAAATATTTATTTATACCTGGCAAATTATGAATTCACAGTGGCTATTAATATATATGTAATTTATATAGAGAGATGAAAGTACGGTTAAGGTCAGCAGACTGAGAATAAAATACTTGTTTGGTCATCCTCCACAACTTGTTCAAGATGATTTAGCTGCATGTGCCTCAGTTTCCTCATCTGTGTGGGAGCCATAGCTTGGTTTCATGGTGCTAGAAAGTACCTTTAAATAGGCAAAGCTGAGTCTGAAGTCCAAGCATGTGCTTGGGTGGTTGTGCTACCTTAGGCAAGTTACTTACTTAACTTTGTGCTCCTCGGGTTCTCCGGTTGCCCAATGGGCAGTACTTCCTGTCTCACGGCGTGTTATGCCTGGCACACAGGGACTCTCCTGCTAATGATGGGGAGAATGGCCTGGCCATTGTGTCTCTCACTTGAATGGAAGAGAACAGAAGTTCCTTTTTATTTCCCCATCGAAGATGTGCAGAGCGCCACATAGACACAGTTGCTGAGCATGGTCACCAAGGTACATTGCTCACCTGATACTCACCTGCCCTAAAAGTGTCTCAGGTTTTTAGCAGCAGAAACTTGCTCTAAAGGGCATGCTTTTTCTTGATAATAAAGCTTTCTCTTTCCAGCAATGGAACTTTTAAGTGTTGACAATTTTAGATAAAAATCTTTCTAACTTACATTTTACAATATTTATCTATCATTCTGGCTTCTTAAACTAAACATTCTGACCTGCAGGTAATCTTTCACTGATGTCTCAGGTCCCCATTTATTATTTGGTGGGGCGACAGCTCTCTCCCTGTGTTAGCGTTTGCATCCACCCCTTTGGAGGCTTCTTTTGTTCTTGCTTCTTTTGCTGCTATTGTTACTGTCTTGAGAGGCAAGCCTATCACCTTCTAGTTGCAATACAGCCAATGCTATAGGATCATCCAGTGCAAACTCCTTCTTTTGAGCAATAAGAAGCCAATTTGGAGAGGTGAAGAGAAACCGTGGACTTAAATTCTCCCTGAGGTGTTTAATCGACTATGGATTGGAGAGCTGAGGAAAAGAGTTTCATATAGGAACTACATGGTAAATTAAAATCAATAAGGATCAGATAAAAGTCTGCTGAAAGAAGGGAAGCACCTGGCGTGAACCCAGCAACCATGCAGCACTTCCTTTCCAGAGACCCGTAGAAACCTTTCCTGCGCACGTCCCCACCCCCTTGGAGCAAGAGGGCTGAGGGACCTGGCAGACTGACCTCCAGTTAAGAGAGGCCGCCTGTATGTGCGCACCCACACTCTCCATGGCTGCACACAGACACTCCCCCGCACAGTAAGCCCCATTTAACCCCTGTTGGCTTAAACAGGTCTCATTTTCAAACGATGCACTCTGAGATAACCTGCAGATCTGTACGCTGAACGCATTAAAGGCCTGGAGAAATCTACATCAGAGGTTAGTCACATCCTTGTTCTCATTTCCTGCCTGTTCCTGCAGCAATGGCCTCACACGTCTATCCAAGAAACAGGCCTTTTCTCTCCAAGCTCACAGAATTGCTGCCAGGGAAGGAACAAATACAAAAACTTTAACAGCATCTCAAGAGTGTTCCCCCTTTGCTCCTCAGCAACTACTGACAATCAATGTAAAAGTAATCCTAGTTTTTATTTGAAGCTATCTTGGCTTT